GGACCATTTCCTGGAGAAGGATGTCATGCTTGGTAGGTTGGAGGGTTGACGAAAGAGGGGGAGGCCTTCAACGGGATGGATTGACATGGTGGCTGTGATGATGGGCTCAAGTATAGCAGGGATTGTGGGGCTGGTGCAGGATCGGGCAGTGTTTCGTTCTGCTGTGCATGGCGTCTCTATGAGTGGTAAATGACTCGACAGCACTTAACAACAACAACAACAGCATATTGGATTAGGGCCCACCCTACCCAACTCTGATCTCAAGCTACCTAATTACTTCTGCAAATAATCTATTCCCAAATAAGGTCAAGTTTGTGGGTACCAAGGGTTAACACTTGAACATATCAGTTTATTCACTCCTATTGCCATCAAGTCAATTCTGACTCATAGTGACCCTATAAGAATAGAATTGCACCATAGTGTTTCTAAGCCCTTCTGGAAGGAGACTGTCTCATCTTTCTCTCATGGAGTAGCTGGTGGGTTCAAACTGCCAACCTTTTGTTTAGCAGCCAAATGTATTAACCACTGTGTCTTGAGAACTCCTGAACATTTTTGGAAGCACAAATAAACCATAGCAAGCATTCACCAAATTATACTATCAATAAGCTGACTTGCTCAATTAAAATAAGGTTTTCTTTGTTTTTATTAAAAACGTGCACTTACTGTGGAGGCTAACTGACAATTCCTTCACTGGTTGCCTCCAGTCTGTGAGGGGAACTTGAGACAAGGGGTGTGATACCAATATCACACATACGTTTGGGAGTTCCTATTCTTTGACCTAAAAAAGTACCTGAGGCTTATCATTTTCTGAAAATACTCGATAAGTTAGGAAAAGGATTTGTGCTTGCTGCCAAATTGAGCCAAAAACTGGTTGAAGGTAGAGATGGTGTCCAGAACACGTGGGTGGATAGCCTTCTTGCTCCGTCTCTCCTTTATAACATTGTGCATGCAACATCATTCCTGCACACAGTACTTCCTTGTATTTCTCTTCTGCTGGAAATATTTATTAAAAAGTTAAAAAGAGAGTTTATCATTCAAGTGAAAAGTGCAGGTAATTAGCCTATATAAGAAAATACAGTGATGAGGAGGAAAACTAAAGCTAAAATTTTACTGAGCACCTTGTATTAAGTGTTACATTTTAAAATGGCTTATCTCATTTAACATCTACAACTATCCTATGCAATATTTTTTCCCCTATTTGTTAAAATTTTATTTCTTTGCCATTTTAATGAGATTGAAATTTTAATGTCTAAAGAACTCTGGTGGTACAGTTGTTAAGCACTTGGCTGCTAACGGAAAGGTTGGAAGTTTGAAACCAACAGCCACTTCATGGGAGAAAGAGATGGCAGTCTGCTTCTATAAAGATTTATAGCCTTGGAAACCCTATGGGGTGGTTCTACTCTGTCCTATATGGTTGTCATGAGTTGGAATGTACTCAATGACAATGAATTTGATTTTTGAGTATTAACTGCTTATCTTCATTCTAATAACCATCATCTTCAATAATGTAGTGAGTTGTAAACAACCACTATTAACAAAAAATGACAGTGCCCACTTACCGGAGACTCACTATATATCAGCTAGTATCCTGGTGCTTTCTTTTATCACTTAAAATGATAGGTGGAAGAGGTAGGGGTATATGCCTTCCTGGTATCCTGCATTTCAGAGTCATCTGTCATCTGAAAGCTTTTTGTGCAGAGAACAACTTTTTGCGCTCTTTCCCAGCCCTCCCTCCACCACACACACACACACACATACACATACACACACACAGAATCATAGTTGTTAGGGCCACTGTTACTGACCCAGGTTTTTCTTACTTCTTACCACACCACCATGTGGATTCAGAAGTCTGTGATTTTATCATCCAAAACCAATCCAAATCCACTGCCATCATATCAGTTCCAACTCATAGCAAACCTATAGTTAATTTCAAAAGCAATAATTTCTATTGGAAAAAGTATGACAAGTTACTCAGCTTGAATTCCTTAAATTTTACTCTAATTTTTCATTTTCTTCTTTTGTAAGCATTTATAAAGATCCTAATATAATCTTGAAGTGCTTAATTTGATATATCCAGGCATGCGACTTAATTATGCTTTACTGTATACTGTATACTTTACTGTATACTGTACTCACATTTGATGAAGAAATTGCTTGCTTTACTGTTTGTGTAGCCTGAAAGGATACGAGTACTTTCTTGCGAGGACAACTTGAAATGTACTCTGAAGTTCCTTAAGGCAAAGCAAGCCAGTGTAAGAAGACAGACAAAAGAACTGTTTTAGAGGCATGAATATTAAACCACCCATATATTGTTACATTTTTAACTTAGAAATCATTGTGTGTTTATTGACATATTTATGTTTGAGTCAAAGCATTATTTTCTTTGCCAAATTTCAGAGTTTTCTACCAAATTCTAAGGTAATTACTTGAATATTTTTAGCTCAATTTGACAGTGACTTGCTACGTGACTGGATTTCTCTGACCTTAAGTGGCAGTGAGCAGGAGGTCATATGAGAGCATTGAACATGCCCACTCATTCTATTTTATTATTTTATTTAAGCATACAGACACTGGATATTGGAATATTGGACATCTTTGGTTTTGAAGAATTTCAAAAGAATGAATTTGAACAAGTAAGTAAGCTTTCTTTTGAAATTTTATAAACTTTAACGATTTTACATATATATGTGTGTGTGTTTTTTTAATTCAATAAGATCATTAGTATGATTACTTGTAAATATGGAATTAAAATAAGTATTTTGCTTTTATGCTATTAGATGATTATCCCTAAATTGATGACATATTCATCATTTGTATGTGGTCTTATAAACAACTGGCATAATTTTTTTTTTTTTTTTTAATAAAAGTACTTGTTTTAAAAAATAATGTTAGATGAAGACCTGGGTTGTACTTAATGGAAATGCTATTTCAAGTAGGTCAAAGAGTGGGAGGATGTCTGGATTTGAAATCAGAGCAAAGGTCTTCAGAAGCCTTGGCCAAAAATCACAGTGGAAAGACTCCATTATGCTAAATGCTGTGATTTGTATATTCACCTCTATGTGACATTCATACATATGACTTTTGGAATTCAACAAAAACACGTTTAAGGTGCACTGATTATTTTTATTTCATTTATAATTTGAGACGTTTTGAAAAACAACAAATTCTTCTGGTATTTTAATAGTACTTCATGAAAAGCTTTATCAAATTAGATATAAGAATTAAATATAATTGCTTAATTAGGTATTAAGTGAGAGAGAGAACTCAGCAAGCAGAGAAAGAAAATGAACTAGTAAAAGGCACAGGGAAAAAGGTAGAAAATCACACTGCATTATGTCACATGAAGAATTAGAAATATGTAGTATATAAAACTTTTACTAATTATGTGACATGTTTAGCTTTATTATTTTAAGGGAGATATTGTGGTGGTTATGAATTATATGAAGAATTAATCAGACTTTTGTGATCTGCTAGCAGAGTGTTTTTATTGTGATTTTGGTAAAAGTTTACAGAGCAGATTTTGTTTTCCATTCAACAGTTCATAATATAGAGTTCGTGTCATGACATTGTTCGCAATCCCCATAATGTAACACCTCTCTTTCCACTTCCTCCTGTACTTACTTACCTCTTCCCTGTGTCCTTCTTTCCTATGCATTCTTGCCCACTGAGCTATCTCCCTGTGCAAATATCCATTGCCACGGAGTCAATCAATTCTGACTCATAGCAAGACCCACTGGGTTTCCAAGGTGGTAAATCTTTATGGAAGTAGGGTGCCCTGTCTTCCTTCTGAGTAGTGGCTGGTGGGTTTGAATCACGAACTTACTAACTACTTACTGGTTAGTAGTCAGATACCTTGGGCACTGACTGCACCACCAGAACTATAATCTCCTGTGATTGATTGTTCTACAGAATGTATCTACCTGGTATAAATAAATGTTCAACTTACACTCCTGTCCATTGTTTGGCTGGAAGCCATAAGAGTGAGTTCAATTCAAGGCCTAAAGGATGACTAGGGGCCAAAGTCTCGGGGAGCAGAGTGGTTTTTGCAAAGATGAAGAATCTATATGAGCATTGGTTTCCTCCTCTGTGAAATGGGAATAATAGTATGCCCATAGAGTTGTGAGATTAAATGAATTATGCAAATAGCATTCTGCTATAGTTAACTAGCTCATCATGTATAGTTAGGAAAAGGTGAAATACTGCTGTTATAAATGGGAATATTTCTGAATGTGTTAAAACCCAGCCAGTTTTATTTCTAGAAAATTGGTGCATCATCCTGTGGGTAGATCCTAAATCATGTTGACTCACCTATCCAGAGTGAGTCAGCATGAACCATGTTCTTTACAAAACCTGACAAGCCCAGTTTCAAATAAGATCAACGAGGCTGTCTTTATTTTCCTCTCATACTTTAAAATCTATGGATTAATGAAAAAAGGATGACTGGAGTTTTTATTGATTTATTTTTTACTACTCTGGTAGCATAGTGCCTAAGGTACTTGACTGCTAACCAGAAGGCTGGCGGCTCAAACCCACCAGCCACTCCTCGGAAGGAAGGTTGGGCAATCTACTTCCATAGTGATACTGCCTCGGAAACCCAAGGAGGGGTCGCTATGAGTCAGATCTGGCTTGATGGCACATAACAACAACAACAACACCATAAGAAAAATAGTGACAAACCTAAGGATGAAGTCAGCTAAAAAGTGACCCATAGAATACACAATGGTATATGCATGTCTGCAGCCTGCCTCTTCTTGTATATTTCTCAGCTCAAGTGTTTGAATGCTTTACAGCAATGGAATTGATTCCTTACATTTATGCCTTAGTTTTTATGTCTGTAACGTTATTCATTTGTCTGTCCATCTTTTAGCAAGTGGCATGGAATGATGGCATATAAATGTGTACTACACACACATATATGCGTGTACACCAAACCAAAACCAAACTCAGTGCCATAGAGTCCTTCTCGACTCATAGGGACTGTTCCTTGGGTTTCTGAGGTAGTATCTCTATGGAAGTAGATTAGCCAATCTTCCTTCTGAGGAGTGGCTGGTGGGTTTGAACTGATTCTTAGACATAAATTATGAACAAAAAGAAACTTTTTTCAAGTGTTTTTCTTAGCATGTTTGCATTACTCTTGTGCAAAACAACAACTAGGAGTCATCTGTTGTTGTTATTATGTGCCATCGAGTCGGTCCTGACTCATAACAACCCCTCCTTGGGTTTCCGAGACAGTATCACTACGGAAATAGATTGTCCAACCTTCCTTCCGAGGAGTGACTGGTGGGTTTGAACCACCAGCTTTCTGGTTAGCAGTCAAGTGCCTTAGGCACTATGCTATCAGAGCTTCTTATTTTACTGTTATATTATTATTATTATTATTATTATGTGCCTTATATTATTAGCTAACACCTAGTGTACAATGATGAATGTAAGTTGTAAGAGCAAGAATTCTTTCAACATGGTAAGCTCTGAATTTACCATCCTGGTTGATTGAATATTATAAATGATACATTATTATCACCTCAATCTCTGCTATGCTATAGCTAAATCTCATAAAATCTCATATCCTTTATAATGTAATGTTTCTTTCTACCTCTGTAGAAGTATTTTCTAAAACACTCAAGGAAATGCCTCTACAGTCTGCTCTCCAGCATTAAACAATCATTGAACACCAAGTATATAATGCTGGGTAAATGGAATGATAGTAAATAAGACAAAGATACTCTCTTACATGTTTTAATGCCACAGAGAAAATAATTACATGCATGAGAAATGGAAAGGCAAGGTAAAAAAATATTTCTGTCTTCAAATCTTATATATCTAGAAACTAGAAGAGTTCATGAGAAAATTACTACACACAGTAAAAACACCTAGCACAGTATCAGGCTATGGAATCAATAGACAAAATCTAAGAGTTTTATATATATTAAATATAACTTGTTAAATGTAATAGAAAAGAGCACAACATTTACATTAAGCAAAATAGGTAAATGATCTGTATGAAGAAAAATGAACACCTGAAGTTCATAAAAATAGACTTTAACTGAAAGACAAAATGCATTCTTATATAGAAAATTTAATATCATGCAGAGACCAATCATCCTGAAATTAATGATTTAGAATTATCCAATCCTAATACAAGTAAATAAAAAAAAAAAAAAAAGGAAAGATAGAGTTAGAACATCCCCTTTTTGCATTTTCTTATATGTAATTAATCTAGGCAATGATTTTCAATGACACTAACATTACAAAAAGAGAGGACATGCACAAAAGCCTATGAAGTACCTTTGCCAAATAATAAAGAAAAGTAGGAAGGATGGAAGGAAAGAAGAGAGCGATGGAGGGTGAAGGAAACCTTCATATAATGAAATTTCTTGATCTAACTACTAACTGACAAAACAGGAGGATAGAAGAACATGTACTCTGCAGATGTCCAAAATGGAAGAAACTGTATAACACAAACTAATTTCTTCAACATATCAAATGCAAGAAAAAAATATAAGAAAAAAGATGAGTACCATTAAAAGATATCTAAGAGATATATAAATCTATTAAATAAATGGATATTCTTGGAGCTCAAAATTTTAAGACTAAGTATAAAAATTATTAGAAAATTCATGTACTATAAAATATGTTGTTGTTGTTGTTATGTGCCATCGAGCCGGACCCAACTCATGGCGACCCTTCCTTGGGGTTCCAAGGCAGTATCACTATGGAAGTAGAGTGCCCCATCCTCCTTCTGAAGAGTGTCTGGTGGGATATTTGATAAAATTAAGAAATTTTTTATTTTTATTGCATGTATAATTGTCAGAACAAACTCTGAAACTTGCTCTTGAACATAGAGCAGCTAAAGCGAATGGAAGCAATGGTGAAGTAAAAGAGTTAAGCAAAAGATGTCAAAGAGTGACTAGAGAAGACAGTAATGTACTATATTGCAATGTGAAAAAAACAAAAGGTAAGAGCATTCTTGGCCTTTCTCAAGCTGAAAGGGTTGAAGAAAATAATTCAAGCCTCTAGTTGCAATAATGAAATATTCTATGTGCAAAATATCCAACAACATAGGAAGTATCAAAAGAAGATGGAAAGAATAAGCAATCACTATACCAAAAATAATTGGTTAACATTCACCGATTTCAGGAGGCAGCATGGAATCAAGAACCAATAGAACTGAAGGAACAAATTCAAGCTTCATTGAAGACACTGGTGAAAAATTAGACTCCAGGAATTGATGGAATACTAACTGAGACATTTCAACAAATGGATGCTTCACTAGTGGCACCCACTCATCTATGCCAAGAAATTTGGAAGATCGCTACCTGGCCAACTGGGAGAGATCCATATTTGTGCACATTCTGAAGAAAAATGATCCAATAGAATACAGAAATTATTGCACAATGTCATTAATATCATACATAAGTAAACTTTTGCTGAAGATAATTCAAAAATGATTGCATGAGTACATTGCCAGGGAACTGTCAGAAGTCCAAGCCAGATTCAGAGGAGCACATAGAATGAGGGATATAATTGCTGATATCAAATCAATCTTGGCTGAAAGCAGAGAATAACAGTGATATTAACCTGTGTTTTATTGGCTATGCAAAGGCATTCCACTGTATGAATCATAACAAATTAT